TGGCCGCCATAACTCCTCATCCTCCTGGCATGAGAAAATGATGCATGAGGAGACAGGGAGCAAGGAGGGATTTTCCTCCTCACCCTCCCATTTCCTCAGGTGTCATTTTCTCACACTAGGAGGATGCAAGGAGAGGAGTTATGGCAGCCAGGGACCATTAAAAGTAGATTTTAGTGGGAAATTGGGGGCCTTGGGGAGGGGGAGGCTTCATGCTATCCCAATTTCAATCAGGATGGCATGTAACCACCACCCCCTTCCCTAGGAAAGCCCAGGGTTTCTGTGGGTGGGTAGAGACAGAGACCTGGTTATTTTGACCTGTTTTGCCACGGGTTTCAGGTGTCTGGAAGCACCCCAAGTTGGCTTTCATGACCTTACGTATACACATTAACATATCATTCTTATTGTTGCCTATGTATTGGGCATATGGAACTCATGTTAACACTAAGACAAACTTACCACAGAATTTTCCTGGAAGGATTTGTTGGGGGGGGGGGTGCCATTGCTTTTCTCTCAGAGTTCTACTTTAACATTAAAACCACTATGCCATGTTGGTTCTACTATATTAGTACTAACAGATTTTTTTTTGTAAACATTTATTGCCAAAAAGAATCTCAAGTCAAAGTTATGTCATTTTTTTCCAGGCATGTGAATCCAATTTGCTTGAGTATCACTTCTTGTTAAATTATGCAGCCAAATCTACAGCTGTTTCCAAAGATGTTACACACACATTCCCCACGGTTCCTGCCAATCCACTCTCTTGCTGACTTCTACTTTTTTGAAAGAGTAAGCCTGGGGAAAAGGGAACTTTCAAGATCTCTATACATGCTAAACTGGTACTGGTGATGACCTGCAATCCCTATGACATATGAGGAATTCCACTGCCCTTTATCAGCTCATTAAAGCTCTTAGATCTTCTGACAAATCCTTCTCTCTGTCCCATTACCTTCTCAGATTTCTTCACTGAAAAGAGGGAGAAGGTACTCCCAATAGCTCCTCCCAGTTTTTCAAACTCCCTTCTTAGGGACAGTAGGTTGGCTCTCCTGCTGGCGAATTAAAACTTTCGCGTTCCACCATCCGTTTAGAAACTGAATGGAATGGGATTTTAATGATGTGCTATTTTAGCTTTATAAATTGTTTAATTACTTTTTGAATAACTTTTATATTTCTACTTCTAACAAAGTTTTATGTAGCTTTTAATATGCACTATTTTTAATATGCTTCTAGCGAGTCACCTTGAGTATCATTATTGGGGGGAAAGGAAGAATATAAATGAATAAAATAATTATCAATCACAATTGTAACTGCATAGTGCTGGGGCAATATTTGATAACTTGGAGGTCAATAGATAGATGGGGGAGGGGCGACAACTTTGTGTAGAACAACTATAACTGGCAACAAAATAGACAATGGATTATTTTGCTAGCAATATGCCACTAGTAGCCTCTTTAATCTGCCACTTTCATGTCACACAAAGATTCTGGACATTAATCAAGAGCAGTGTCATGTGCGTTGGAGTTCTATAGCTCACGGGATTGCAAAAATACAAATTAATCAGTTTTAACAGTGTGTACCATTTATATTCATTAAGCTGACTTCATGAAAGAAAGATCTTTTCTACAGACACTCAATTAGAGGTTTCAATTATGGAGAATTTATCAAATTAATTAGCAATCTTCATATCTAGTAGGTCATCAGATAACTTTTCCATTTTGTCTTACTAAAATCTATTATTCCCAAAATGAGGTTTTATAATTAGCATGTCATTTACTGAAATAATTCAAAGTTATAGTAAAATTTGATCTGTAAGCAAATGCAGCAGAACTAACATTAGTGAATAAAGGACTCTCCCTGCATGAAGGACTCATCATTCTCTAAGTCCTCCTCACATGGCTGTATAGTAGCTGACAGAGAATATGCATGGATGATGAGGGCTATGTTCTGATAGTGAGATGCAGATTTAATGTTCTAATAGTGAGATGCAGATTTAAGACATTCTCCAAGGCCACACTGTGGTCCTCTGGTGGTCCTGGAGAATACATCATCATTATACATCCAGCTAGCTGGAATTGTTTTCAAGTGCTCTCCAGTCTTCTGTTATCACTAAATTGCCATGTTGTAAGCGTGGGACCCCAACAGAAGAATGGTATTTCCTGTGATTAGCAAACCATTATATTAATGAAATAGTGACCACCACCCTCTACAACTATAAAAAGACATGCAAGCATAAGTTGGATTTATACCAATGAGCACCACCAGCAGGGTGCCAGCTAGGAATTAAGTTAACTAAAGATTCTTACCCTAAAAAATTCTTTTGTTGAGCCAGAATCTAATGTTCCATAAGCAATTTCTGTTTGCTTAGACAAGTCTTCAGCACTTTCAATGGGAGATACCATTCTTTCTACTGTCAGAAAGGCAGCTAGGTTAGCCGTGTAGGATGAGATTATGATCAGGGTAAAGAACCACCATACACCTCCAACAATGCGCCCAGACAGGGATCTAATAACAAGCATGAAATAGATTTTTTAATGAAGTAAACATTTTGAAAGGCATACAATCCCCAGGTCTATGTATGTGCCGTACACTGTCACAAAGTGAAGCATTTTCTTTTTATACTGTGCTGGCCTGTTTTGTTTTCTGTTGCAATGAGTGCTAGTGAAATGGCATATTCAAATATGTTTATAATAATATTCGATGATAATTTTACTGAGGACAATTGGTGTCATTAAATTCAGGACTCCCATCTTGAGTTAAAGTAGTAGCCAATCAGTTCTTCACTGGAAAGAACCCCCTGGAAAAGAAAGCTGTATATGTTATATTAGTGCCATATTAAAAAGTATGGTTTTCATGATAACTCAGGTGAACCTACTTATAACTCAAACATGTAAACAAAATAGAAAAGATAAATTAAATACCAATTAGATTTTTTCCTTTTCCAACTGCTCATGACTAGTATATACATTTCACATCTGGATTTCATAGGCACAGAATTGAGTAAATTGGGAAGTAATGTTCTTGGTACAAATTACTATGTGTTCCTCAAACTTCATTGCAGATTGCTGTATGTTCTCCTTAGAAAATTCCATCAACCTATCAATTGTAGACCACAACAAGAGATCTTTGAATTGGGAAGTCTTGTTCTGAATATCTGTGCTACCATGTTTGAATTTACATTTGCCACAATCCTTCCATGCTCTGATTGCATATTCATATGAATCCCACAGAGTGAGGTTTACATTAATAATTCAAAATCAATTGTCTTACAAGAAGTACATTTAAGAATCCAGGTCTGTATTCAGTTGTTAGACCCACTGAATTAAACAAAACTTGGTGTTTCCAAAATATGCAAGTTTTTTTTGATTCAGTGGGTCTAGTTCCGTATGTCAAAACCTTATCTAGTCCAGCATTACATCTCCATGTGAGGCTCATCTGTGGCACATCAATGCAATTATCGCTACATGCTTTCCACCTACACATATTATACAGGTACATACCATTACTGGTACTGAAGGAAATATACATTGAACATGACTCATAGCAATTGATAGCCCCAGTCTCCATGGATTTATTCAATCCCCTTTAAAAGCGGTTCAAGCTGGTAAGCACTCCTACTTCTGCATATGAGGAATATTTATTTCTCCCATTTTGCTAAGGACTGAGCTCAGGAAACAAATCAAAACTGAAAGGAAAGCCTTTGAAATTGATCATTGAAGTCTATTTTAGAATTACAGAATAACTGCCAATAAAATGGTTTCAAACTTTTTCAAAGCCTTGTCTTTTTAAAATTTTCTAGCAACTTTTCATCCTAAGTGGGAATTCCCTTGATTAATGGGTTATTTTAAAACATAGAAGAAATTTGATAGGAATATAGGGCATGTGATTGCCAACTAAAACTGTTACTTATAAGTAGTGCTCCGTGCAAAGGGGTTTTTTTAAGTATTTGCCTCAAAGTGTACACAGTCCCTCTGTCCACATCAGTGGTCTGTAGAGCACAACCCTATACAGGCAAATTCAGAAGACTTCACTGAGTTCCATGTAGACTACTACCAGGTAGGTAAACCATCAATTTCAGCCAAATAAACTTTTAGATCAAATGTGAGGAACTGAATTCCTCACATTGGGAGCTGAGATCGTTTTCTTGCAACCTGATGTGACTTCTACATTCCTAAATATCACGGAGTCCCTATCCTACACAAGTCACCGGATGGAGCTTTTCCATTGAGGACTTGGCTTTGTTTCTCCTGCCCCTTCCTCATTTAGTTAAAGGGAAGGGGCACACACTTGTGGGCACTGTTTGAGCCCCAATAATATTTGGAATTATGACTCAGTTTATTCTATTTCTTTTCCTTATTGAAAGCCAAAGAGAAGAAAAGTCACAATGAATAAAAATGATGGCGATTCCATTCAGGGTAGCCAAAAGGGTAGAGAGGAGCAATTATTATTGGTTTGTAATGGCTCATACTATAACATTTTCAGCCAATGATGGGATGAACTGCAGCTTAGCATTGGTTTTTAAACCGTTTTTCTAGCTATTTTTCATGTTAACCCAGAAGCGATTTTCCTATTTCTTGGAAGGGGGTTGGACTGGATGGTCCACAAAGTCTCTTCCAACTCGATTCTAAGATTATTTGGCATTCGGGGCATTTTATGACTATGGCCACAAATTCACTTTTCCAACACAGCTGTAGGTGATGAACTTGGGAAAGGAAGGAAATCTTTGAAGAATCTGTTGTGGCTGTGTGGGAATTTTTCAGAGGTTGGATGAGGCCCATGGACTCCCAAGTGTTTCAAATGTTCAATTTGAAGGATGAGGAAAAACATTTTGGATAAGATGGCTATCTCTGAGTAGTTCCTAAGTACACAGGTGTTGGTTATCAATCATAGTTGTTGATCGGGTTCTTTCTCTAATATATCTATATTGCTTTTCACCATTTAGAGGATATACTGCACTTTCTAACTTCTAAATCTTCAAATGATGCCCTGCAAAACTGTTTAAAATGATGAAATTGGTGCATCATGCTGTCATTGTTTTCACAGCAAGAAATGAATGCTATCACACCTCTCTCACCAAGACAATGTTTTTTTGCCTTGTGCAGGTGAGGAATGAGCTGGGATACCTGCAGGTAGCAGAATGGTAGCTAAGCAACTGTTTGAGCTGTAGACCTGTTCTGTCATAAACTTACCCAGAAACCTTAAGCAAGGCTATTTTTCTCTCTCTTTCAGTTTCTCCCTGTATCCACCCAATGTACAACCTCCTGATTGATGTTAGAGGGATTTTGAGGATGAAAGTACAAAGAAGGATGATACAGATGTAAAATATTGAGAGGTTGGTTAATATTGAACTTTTAACTTGCCTAGGTTTTGTTTGTTTTGAGGTTATGTATGCTCATCATTGCAATTCCTAGTCTTCCACTCTAACCTCCATATTCTACCACTACTTTCTTGCAACCAATCTTTCATTTCTTGATCTCACAAAGTCTTCCAGTATCTTCTTATTTTAGGCTTAACATTAGGAATGGAAATAATATACAGTTTTCTGTGCACACTGTGTGCAAAGTAACTCCTTGGCTACTGCATTTTATTTGCAGAGGAAGGCAATATCTGCACAGATAATATTTTTCTATAACAATATTATGTTCTGTGATAAAATAATTTTTCTACGCAAATACCCATGTGAGGAATAAGTCCTGAACTGTGAATGATTTTCAAAAATTGGACAGTGGGATAACTCACTATTTTTTAAGAATAAAATTTCTAATGAATTGGATCCCTGTTTAACATATGTGAAAATAAAGCTCAGCTTTACAGCAAGAAATTAGAGTATCTATTAATTTCTTTCTTGCTTTAATTTCTGTTTGAATTCTCAAAGTAAGATAAACCTGTATCAAATATTGAGTTATTTGTAATGGCATCTAAAGTCCTGAACAACTGACTTCTTTCTGATGCCCTGGTTTTAAAGGGGGGGGGGGGYGGGTTGTGGCTGCAGCCCCTTTAAATGGAGGTGCTACTTGGAGGATCTCAAACATGTCACAGCCTGAGCAAAGGGGGAAACTGAAGGAGGCTCTCTGTTGCCCATGGAATGGTCAGTGTAACATTCTTATTGGTCACTGCAACTCAGACCCTGTGCCCTGCTTGGCTACAAAGGGGCATAGATTCATGAGACTGCCTCGCAGTTTGGAAAACGTGGTGCAGAATGATTGTTTTACATGCTCAAATCTACAGTGCCATCAAATTTAATCCACACTCTAATTTTTGCAATATATTTTTGCCAAAAATTGTGCATTACATTTGAGTACAGTAAATTGGCAATGCATCTCATCAGTGTGAAAGTCTGTAACTGGATGACTTGTGCTAATGTTAAAACTGTTCTCGATCCTCAAATTATTGATGGCCTACTTCAAGACACCAGCCTCCCATCTTTAGAAGACACTTGGGACACACAACTCTTCAGGCAGAGCACCATTTGCTAGATCCGATGACAGTCCTTCAAAAGAAGATGATTGCGGTCCACCTAACCACATGACCTATAGAAATGTCCTACTTACTTGAAGGAAAATGGTGCAACAGTTCCTTCTACTATAAAAAAATCACTAACCAATCTTATATTATCACCTTCCCATTTTCTCCTTTGATTAATACTTCTTCTTAGAAAAAAAGCTTTGTACTCCCTTTTCATTTTCTATCATGGCTAGTTTCATCCATTTTATTTTTATGAATCAAGCACTTAAGCATTCTCAAATTTGTCACAGTGAGGATGTCTTATCACGCTCAAACCTGTTTGCCCAATACAATCAATCTCTATAGGGACTTCTAGTGGAACGCTACATTTCACCCTGATCTGTTTGGGAATAGGCTATGCTGAGAAGGCTCTCTCTTGATGTTCCAACAAATTGGCACTGGGAGCAAGGAGCTTTCTCTGGTCCTATGAATAAGCCAAACGAATATATGTAAACCATATATAAATAGTAGCCTTTATTTTTAAAGTTAAATCTCACTTTTTTTCCCTTGAGAGTGAAGGGAAGGGAGAAAAGCCCCAAAGGAAAAGTGCAAGGGATTGACTTGTTAATTTCCTCTTTTGGAGCATGGCATGTTGGGCAAAATTCCATTTCCTCTTCCTCAATGAACTTGAAGAGAAATGACCAAAGATTCCCAGCTGCACAAGATAATATTCAAGTTGTGTCAACGATTGTGTGTTGTATATTCTATTTAAAAAGGTACTTATCATTCCCATTTGTAAACTGCATTGACATTAATTAAATGAATATAAAACCTTTCAATACAGATAAAATTAGAATTCCTCAATTAAGCCTTCAAAGCTTTTGCTTTTTGGGTGGGGAATGAGGAAATTAGGTCTGACTTGCTGAGTCTATTTTTATATATTTCAAACAATGAAATGGGTACACTGTTAGGACAATGGGCCTTTGGCTCAACTTGGGGATCTGAACAATGCTGAGCTTTCTTATGCTCTGCAACCTTGTCATTTTTTTCAGCTGGATCCAATGATCTTTCAGCTTTGATATGATTCTTGTGTTTAATATGATTTACCAACATCTGCCCAATTAAGCCATTGAGTCTGGGGACACATCACATGGTATGAAAGAAATGAACAGCTGATAATCCTTCAGAAAGAAACATAAATTAAAAATATAGATTAGGCTTAGAATTGTGGCATACATTCAAGTCCACCAAAACCAGCAATACCTAAGTTTATATTCTTAATTGAACAAGAGTTTTCTCTTAAGCTGAACAATTGTCTCCAAAATTCTCTTACTACACACCCTTGCTATGTTTCTTCAACTGGTTCACATAGATATTGAGTTATCAGAAGACCTTTCTATTTTGAGTTCAGTAATTTTGCCAAAGGTAGAGGGGAAATATAAGCAACAGGCAGGATGTCATGTAAGGAGGTTAGTGAAGGGGAAAGCCCTATTTCATAGACCATTAATAGTGTTCTACCCTTTTTCCCATCACAGCACCTGTGAAATCAATGCATCATGGGCTGTGAATGAGAATATGCAGCAAAAACACGGTACCCCTCCAAGAAGGCATGGAATGAGAGGACCTTATGCATTTTATGGCCTCTGCATGGTGTATATAAGTTCACCAAGGGAAAAAAAAACTAATGCTAGGAGAAAACCAATTGAGCAGTCCACTGGTTTGCATACCAAGTTGTCGATTTTCATGAAGAAGACTAGATGATTTTGAAAAATATTTCCACTGCTGGTGTAACATGAGAGTGAATATATATGCACCATGAACATCCTGGGGGAGACCAAAAATGCACAAAGTTGAAATGAGTGTGTAACCAACCTTGGCGAAATATCGCATCCTTGCTGCATAAAGGCACCCAAGGAAAACCAGAGACTATTAAATATCCCAAATTCATTAGTTGATTCGTTACTTTGCGTTTCTCTTCCATCTTCAAACTCCTCAGTGTGCCATTCGTATGGGCTAAATCTGCTGACCAGGAATAAAACAACACTGACCCCAATGTAGGCAAAAACAATGCACATCCAGATCTCATATGCTAAGGGATCAAGAAAGGAAAACACTCCTGGCTTGGACTTCTGAGGTTTCTTGATCATTATAGATATCCCGAGGCTCATAAAAGGCTTTGAGAAGTCAATCACTTCTTCTCTCACCAGTGTTATAGTTAATGGAGCAATTGCAATATCGGCTTTCTGTAATGGAAGCAAAACAAGAGAATAACTTATTCAATATTTAACAAGGGAATAGCTTCATTGCTTTTGTGAATCTCAAATGAAGAATGCAACAGCAGGGTCGTGGATAATAATAATTCCAATGCAGATGTCCTACTGGGGAATAAAGTATTGAGCAACTGCCTGTGATATTCTTCTTACTGACACATAGCCAGCCACCTGGCTTTCCTTTATCATGCAAAGAGTACCTTTTTATGATCTGCACACTATTGCCAGCACACACAATGTTTCTCTCAATAGTTATGGCATTTGAATGCAGAGAAGGTTTCCAATGGAAGGAAATGGTGATGAAATGCAGACATGCTGGCCTCTTTTCAAAAGTTTATTTAGCCCTGGCTTCATTCTGGGTGAACTGCAGCTGTCATTTCTACATTGTCTCCATTACTCATAGCTACCTCCAATGGTTAATAATGGCTCTTACCCCATAAACAAGTTCGCCAACCATTCCATTCCAGATTTTTGTTTCAGCATCCCTGGCCCCATACTTGCCATCAGCAACAATGGTGAGTTTGTATTTGAACCCACAGTGTTTGGCAATTTCTGCCGCTAAGTCCACACAGTAGCCCTCATAGCGCTCATTTCCTTCAAGCAAGTCAATGTTTTTCTTTGCCATGACATACGGAGATTCCTGTACAGAGAAATGTGACTTTAATTGATCGGGATTCCATCGGAGTTAGTTGTCTATTCATTGTACACAAGTCAGGAAGAACATCAAATAAAGCAAGAAAAATCCTGCATTTCTTTGATAAATATTCAGGATTATTTATTTAGTAATCATCATAACATTTCTTCAGTTTCACAGCAAGCCTTACAGATACAGGCACTCAAAGTGGCTTTCATAATTCTTATAAGCATTAATGGAAGCTGCATAATGATAAGTAAAGGAAGAGCTTAATTCCAGCTGTTTAAAGAATATACCTGCATATTCAGCCTATTTCTGCTTATTTCAAAGGACTTTCCCACCAATCCCAAGAATCCCAGGAATAATTTTATAAAAATGACAATAAATATAGCGCTTACCACCATCAAAACAGCGGAAAAGTTCTTGGTCTCTTTAATATATGATCCAGAAAAGTTATGCACTAAATGAACAACTCTGAACAATTATTAACTTAGTGGGTTTACATCATGACATCCTTACTATACTACTGTATTGCTGCTATAAAAAAGAGATAGAGGAAGTTTCAAACTCTTCCATTTAGTGAAGAATTTAAAATTGACTAGAGAGAGAGAGACAGAGAGAGAGAGAAAGTTGTGCATACAGTTTTGACTTCTTAACTTCCATTGGTTAAATGAGGAAAATTGAAAATCCTGCCACAATAGAAGAAGCACTTCATTGAAAATTGTTCCCTTAATGTTTTGTGAGGGAACATTTTAAAACATACTTTACTATAAATACTAAAAAAATTAAAACAAGCATAGATTTCAAAATCCTTAAAACTATGCTGAAACAAAAGGCAAATTATACCACAGGTTTAATTTTTATTTCCAAATAAACCATTTCCCAACTGTTCACACATTTACAATGAAAAAGGCATTCAGTGGTTTACTTCAACAGAAACCAAGATCCAATGATAAGATTACAATTTAGAGTATCCATTTCACAAAAAATGTGCTTAATTACCATAATAGTAGTGACAACAATAGTCTTATTTTCTAATCCGGAAGAGTCGTTGCCAGCGAGACCATCAGTAGGAATCACAACCAATTTATCCAATTCACTCCAATATCCAATCTGAAAAAGTTTGCAGGTAGCACTCAAGCTAATTAATATTTCTGTTTAAAGAATAATTTTTGACAAATCAAACTTGTCTATCAAAATGTCTTCTACTGCATCTACTCAAGAACTAATGATAACTATCTATTACACAAGATGTTTAATGAGGATGAGGCACACTATGCAAATTCAAAATGGGTGGAAGCTTGATGGTATGAGTTCAATACATTTTTCTATATGATTTTAATCACTTTCCAGTTATGTGATACATGATATTATGGACACTAGCCAGACAAATGAAAGACCTTTAATATTCCCTTACTTTCAATGGGATATATATATATATATATATATATATATATATATATATATATATATATATATATTCAATGGGAATTTTCTACTCTTAACTGGCTGCACTGTAATCATGGTAAGAAAAATCACAATTCAGAAAACTATACAGAATCAGTTATCCTTTAAAACTTGTAATAATTAATCTATCTTGTGTCTAATAACAAGAAATACACAATTTCAAATAATATTATTTGTGCACTCTGATTAAATTTATGTAGAAATGTGGTCACTGCTAACAAAAAAGTATTTTCTCAACTCTATAGGAACGTAGATACATATACAAACACATGTGCAGATGTCTTTGAATACCGAGGAACCTATGGTCCTGTAGATATTGATTATTAATCCCATCATCCCTAAACAGCCAAGGTGGTGAGGACTGATGGGAATTAAAGATCTAAACCATCCACGGGGCTTACAGACTCCCTATGCCTGCATACATCTTTATATTACGTTTTAAGGCGCCTATTTTTAAAATCACTTAGCAGGAAAACACTAAAATTACTCGGTATGAAAAATTACCTTCCGGGGACCAGTACTTTTGAGCTCCATGACATTTATTGTATAGTTAATTCTCTTTCCATTCTGATCAAACTTTATATTTCCTGTCAACCCTTCCACCTGAACCTATGAGAAGTAATAATAGAAAAAGGAGTGGAATGAAACGAATTAATTGAAAATGCATTTACAGTCACACAATTTTTACAGTTGTTGTTCGTTTTCATCTTATTTAGTTTTTATCCTAGATATGTTAGATACAAATCAAATTCAAGACATTCACATATGATTTTATACACAAAGTGTTGATTCCAGAACACCTACCTGCTTTAATGCCCTTTCTATTTCCACACCATGAGACCAGGGCACTGCTGGGTTTGCAAGGCAGTCTCCAGCATTTCCTCTTCTAGAAATCTCAACCCGCTGTTTGCGAAGATTTCGGAAGGCTGCATCCATTACTTTGACGGCATCATAGGTTAATGCTGATGTATACTGAACAATAGCATAGATAAAAAACAAACCCAGGTTAAGGAGGCTAGTTCTTCAGAGTTAATTTGTAAATAATTATTTCCACTACAGGGGGAAAAGCATTATATTCATTTCCCTAGAGATATTTTCCCACAATATATATTGATTTCTTTTAATAGAAATGTTTTATAGCGTGTATTGACACTTATTTATACTACAGACCTTCTTGCCTTTTATCAACAGACCACACCAGCTTCCAAGTATCTTTCATAGAACTGAATTGTTACTGTTTATGTAACTGTTATGTTTATGTGGTAGCACAGCGGGTTAAACTGCTAGCTGCAAAAAAACTTGCTGACTGGAAGTTTGATAGTTCAAAGCTGTGGGTTGGGAGGAGTTCCTGTTGTTCGCCCTAGCTCCTGCCAACCTACCAGTTCAAAAACATGTTATGTGAGTAGATCAATAGGTACTACCTCAGAGGGAAGGTAGAAGGTACCCATGCAGCCCTGCTGGCAAAACACGACCAGGAGGAGTCTACGGACAACAGGGATCCTCATCATGGAAATGGAACAAGAGCACCTCCTCATGGCCAGAGTTCATCTCCAGATACCAGAGATGAAAAGGGAAACCTTTGTGTTTGTTTATGTATTGTATGTCATTGTTGTTCATTGTATAAAGGGCATTGAATGTTTGCCTATATATGTGTATACTGTAATCCACTCTGAGTCCCCTCTGGGAGATCAAATGGAATATAAATAAGGTGTATTATTATTATTATTTTAATTTATATGATTTTGCTGCTGAATTTTAGCAAATAGATGGATATTTAAGAACCATAAACTTCTTTTGAAAAAACACAGAAAAATATGCCTGGCACTCTGTAAGGTAAAAATATAAGGGAATTTTGATTTTACTATACTGCTAAGCAGATACTCAACTGTTGTTTTGCATAAGATTTCTGAGAGGGGAAAAGCTAACTCCTTTGAAATTAGTGTTATAGTAGTATGAGTGCATTTATAGAGTGTTAGGTAACATTATAATTCAACAATGGTTGAAGGAAGAAGCAAGAAGACAACCATGTTCCATCTCTGAAGGATGAGGCACCCCACTTGTTTAGATCCCAGCTGGCTGGTGGTTGAAGCCATTCAATTTTAATTAGTTAATTTATATCCCACCGTCTTTCCCAACACAGATAAATGAGCTATCCCCAATAAATTTTGCATTACAAATTTATTCAAAGAATGTGAGATGTAATTAGTGATCAATGTTACATTTCAGAAAGTTTGCCTTGCATTCCTTGTTAATTCTACGATGTAAGTAAAATATCCAAAACATTACCAGATACTTTGTTACTATAATATCATCAAACTAAATCAATCAACAGTAAAGGAGTTAATCTTCAAAGCAGTGTACCAGCCAAGAGAAACACAAAATTTATTCCAAGAAAAAGTTAAAGCTGCAAAAAGTACTTCCCTGTATCAAAGTAACTGCAAAATGGTTGACTTTAATGAATTTGTCAAAAGTAAATCATCCAAATGGTGAGGCAATGCACACAAATGGTTTACCATGTGATATAAGCTTGGACGGCCCACCACATTGACCCTCCAAATGCAACGGAAGCATCGCAAGATGCTACCTTGGAGACTATTGGTCCTTTCCCCCATTGGATGGCAACAGGGTACCAATATGCTTTGTCCCATTCCCTCTTTGTGATGGGGGAAGGAGGGGACTGTGCTGTGCACTGTTAGGTGCCTTGTGCACCTGCCGTTTGACAGGCGACTGCCGGCAAAATGAAGCAACTTGAGGATAAGTGTGAAGAGGTTCTCAATGCACAAACAGACTGCTTATGAATTGAATTATATGGAAGTAGGATAGATGAGGGCAATTAGATTTTCCTTTAGTTCTCACATGGCTAGCGTTAGATAACATAAACTTTTAGTTAAGCATTTAGAAACACAGTATAGCTTCCGGATCTACATGCACCACGGTTTCATTTACCTGCAACTGTCAAAATATGCAATGTATTGTCGAAGGCTTTCATGGCCAGAATCACTGGGTTGTTGTAGGTTTTTTCGGGCTATATTGCCATGTTCTAGAGGCATTTTTTCTCCTGACGTTGTGCCTGCATCTATGGCAAGCATCCTCACCTCACTACCTCTGAGGATGCTTGCCACAGATGCAGGCAAAACGTCAGGAGAAAAATGCCTCTAGAACATGGCCATATGGCCCGAAAAAACCTACAACAACCCAAAATATGCAATCTCTTAAACATTTGCAAGGCCTTCCATGCAATTGTATGGCATATTTCTCTTGGAAGTTGTCCATGGTCACTCTGGAGGACCTAGGTGTCTAGGTGCTTTCCGGGTCCTCCAGTGTGGCCCTGTGGTATGCCTCACATGGAAATAGTTTGTTCAATAAAGTTCACTAAGTTCTAGAACATACTGTGATCAAAGAAGACGGGCATGAATAGAAACCAAGGGAATCCCAACACCACAAATATAAGGTTTCTGGGTGTTAGGACAATTTGGGGTGTGTGTGTGTGTGGGGGGGCAGAATTCTTATTTATGGATGAATGTCCTTATCCCCCTCCTCCCGGTTGCTACACTGCTAGGTATCATGTAACCACCAGAAGCATCAGAAATAGTGTTATTTATTAGAGAGAATGTATATCTTGACATGCTACAGCTCCAGCAATTCCACTCAGTACTTCCTGTGTGTAAGGAAGGCCATTTCCAATAATAATGTAGGTTCCTATCAGGTCAGAAGTTGATTGGGTAAGATATAGGAAAAATATGAATTGGTTGCTTTCTTTTCTAATGATCAGTTCTCTGTTTCCCAACATGCGACTTTCTATGGTTTTTTTGAAGTCATAGTTATATGATGTCTAGCATGTTTTCATCGACACGTTGAAAGAGAATTTTAAGGGGATGGGCGCTGTGTTTTCTTCATTTTCTTCATTTTCAATCCTTTATATTTGTACTTATTTTATGTTTAATTTCTCTTAGTTTTATTTAATTTTATCACGCACTGCCATGGGTTGCATTTTTGGGGGAAAGGCAAAAATCCACAAATACACAAGTACTTACATTGTTGACTTCCCATGTAGTGGTTCTGAACCTTGGGACTCCAGTTCCTTTTGAGTTACTCATGTTGGCTTCAGTTTCTAGAAGGTGATGGCCAACAACAACTGGGAACCCAAGGCTGAAGACCACTGTTTTGGTGTTTGCTTGAGATTTTGACATGAATGAGGTAGTTGCTGGGAGTACCTCTCTTGCAGGTTAACACTGTTTGCAGTTGGCCCTTTATAGATACATCCTGCTTTAGCCTTCCAACATTTCATGGATCCATGATTCTATTCTACATATGTTTGATTTGTACACTATTTTACATAAGGAATGAAACAGTGGGTTTTAATATCAAGATAAATGTTTTTAATGCTTATGTATGTGTAGATTTTATTTATGCACCAACATTGAATGTTTGGCATTTGTATGTTGTGCTCTGCCTGAGCCTCTTTTGGGGTGAGAAGGGCAGAATATAAATGTTTTAAATAAATAAATTTTACCATGCCATTGTATAAAATGGAATCTGAGCATACACAGATTTTGATATCCACAGTGGGGTCCTGAACCAAACCTCAGCAGATACTGAGGGCACACTGTACAGCTGGCTGATGAAATAACAGTCCAACAATAGTAGTATCACAAGATTATAGCAACAGAGGCAGGAATATAGGAATAGTCTTGACCCCGCAAAAGATAAAAGGGCTGGTGATTTCTTTTTTAGTAAGAGAACAACTAGTTTTCTCATACTCCATAAAGAAAATAAGTGTGCGTTCCTATAAATAGCTGGTTTCTTGTCTAGTTTAATCAGAAGTGACTAGCTGATGGCAGCACAAACCTTGAATTCTGACCTTGTAGTCTTGATGCAAACACCATTAATGTGACCCAGGAGATTGCTGAGAGGAATGTCAGCAATGGTGAACAAATCAGGTACATAAGCACAAAAAAGAGAGCCAATAAGTCAACCCCATCCTTTTAGTGTCAGAAATATTTTTCATCTTAGTTTTCTGAAGGGTGAGTGAAGTTATAGCTCATGCAGCCCACTTTTTTCTCCAAATACCGCAAACCATCCTTTTTGTGGACCCTCAAAGGGGTGACGTGCCTCTCCAAAAACCTCCTCCTGCTAATGTCTATTACCTTTATCTTAGCCATTTGTATACATGAACTCAAAACAGTTCCTTTGCAGAAAAGCAATCAAACCTGACACAGCAAATGCAGCTGGATCAAAGTACTGAAAAGCATTTACTCCCACTATCTGGCTTTCTCTCTTGATCTCATATTCATTGATCATATTGGGGATATAGATCAAAATTCTCCAAATTTGATCTGCTGTTGGAACGATTTAGCATTCCTTGCCCAGAGACTAGTCAGTAACTAAATTATGCTAGAGAACACCGCTGAGATAGGCTATTTCTCCTGCTGCTACTGTAATCATTTATATGCGGTCTGAAATAGCCGCAGTCTTGAGGCAAATATAAATGGCTTATGAGGCATACGCCTAGCTAATATTAATTACATATCAGTAGAGGTTTTTCACAAAACAATGCCTTGTGGCAGTTATCTTTAGGAAAAATATTAATATAATATTTTCATCTCTGTATAAAATTCAGTGTATACACTGATTTATGAAAAAATACAAAGTATCAAGTCTCTAGAATTCCACAAAGGCTGCTCTTTCTTCTCACTTACAATGTGTTCTAGAAGAATTCCAAAGCCTGTTTCCAAGCATGTCATTGCATAAGTGTTTTCATTTTCTCAGAAATTTGTGTCACTCTCAAAAATGATTCACAGAAGGACTAGCAGGGCTGCAAAGCAGAAGGCATTCTTCAGTCCCTTGAATTGAGATATTGCACCCAGGAACTTCTTTGTTTTCTGAAAACCTGAAGATGCTGAGCTGCAGCAGGAAATCGTGCCAAGTGGAAATAAGGAGTCCCTTTTGGCATTCTTCCCAGGGCAATGTAGAAAGGATAAATGGCAGCACCCAAAGCCATGCAACAAAAGCCACAATAAATAAACAATAAATAAATGCCCTCCCACTGTTCCAATTTGTCAGGAGCAGTCCCAGTTATTCCTCTGTCATCTCACGTTTTCAACTGCTTAAATTTATCTCTCCTCTGCCCGCATACAGAAGGTTTTTTTTTGTTGTGACAGGAGCGACTTGAGAAACTGCAAGTCTCTTCTGGTGTGAGAGAATTGGCCGTCTGCAAGGACATTGCCCAGGGGACGCCCGGATGATTTGATGTTTTTATCATCCTTGTGGGAGGCTTCTGGCATGTCCCCGCATGAGGAGCTGGAGCTGATAGAGGGAGCTCATCCGCCTCTCCCCGGATTCGAACCTGCGACCTGTCAGTCTTCAGTCCTGTCAGCACAGGGGTTTAATCCACTGCGCCACCGGGGGCTCCTATACAGAAGTTATTTGCATACAACTGACTGAGTAGGTGGAAAGAATAAGAGGGGGTTCTTCCAATAGCTCAGACAAATGCAAACTACTGCTGCCTCTTTCAGCTTGTGTGCTCTTCCCCATTAATAACTTTTGCCATTTTAAACAGCTCTAATGATGCTTGGCCACATATATCCTGGTATTCCTGGAAGGTATGTAAAGAAAGGCACATAAAGAGCAGGAGTATGAAGTTCTCACTCTACAAGGACCTTTCCTTCTCAAATCATTTCACCCTCTGTTTTCCTTTCTGGCTCAGCAGACTTTCCCATCCATTTCCCAAAGTCTCCAAAGATAAGTAAAACAATATTTTTTACTTCTCCTACAAAGAGATGAGAATGGCTACAGATGGCACTAACCAGGCAGCTATCACGACAGCTAAAATGCTAATTTGTTGGCTGAGGAAGGGATTGAGAATTCCCCAGGCTCTCATCACTTAGGATCATATTCAGCAAGGGAAAGAAACATTACCGTTACTGCAATCCATGTGTGAAATACTGATCTAGTGTATCAGAATGTATAGTAAAAATATATATATTCCCATTGATGTTTCCTGGTTTTACCTTTCACTAAGCTGCAAGACATTCAATATAACTTGTTTACCTAAGTTTTGCCTGTTCTTCTCCAGGAATCCTGTAGAATGCAATACCCAAAGTAAGCAAAGAAGAAAAGAAGCCTCTCCCAATTCAGCCCCTCCACCTGTTTTGCATTCATTCATATGTGGACTCTTTGGACTATTCAGAGAGGAAATGATGACCTGAAAGGGATCTATGACAGAGTTCCACAAACTTCATCTTACAACCAATTCCATAATATTTATTTTATTATTTCTTTTACCTAAATTGTTAACTTATACACTACACCTTCATCAGGAGAAATGCCTCTAGAACATGGCCATATAGCCCAAAAAAACCTACAACAACCCACTACACCTTAATTAAATGCTACTTACAGTTAACCTAAACATCAAAATAAAACAGAAAAAAGAAACAAATGTGCAGTCTAACAAAACTGATTTTACATGAATGTAAACTGCTCTGAATATCTGCTTTCCCAATAATTATTGCTAGGCTGTATTAAAATGTTTTCACCATGACAGAAATTTATTGATAAAGAAAAAAGACCTACAGATAATAGTTTTTTTGCTCATAAGCTTTTCTGGTGGAATGAAGTTTTGGCAAACCTCTTGACAGTCCTGCTAGCTAAAGTGAAGGTACTCCTCCTGGATTTCCTTCCTCTCTTATGTTCCTTGCTAGAATCTTTGTGGCTGATACTACTGCCACAAGAGACTCATGTCTTATTTTTCATGGATATAACTCTATGACAGCTACAAGTAACACGAACACTTAAAAACAGCTGTAGCCCATGAGATAACTGCAAGTCGCCACATTAAGGAGAGAAACTCAGGAGGAAGCATAAAGAAAAGAGGCATCACTACAGTTCATGAGTTTTTAAAGTTGAAGTGAAGAGAAAGCCTTATGCAGGGATGTAAACCTTGACTGTATTTGTTTTTTTTGTGGAATAATTGGAGATCGCATTCATAAGTATGTGTACATGCACACAGACCTAAAACATAATGATAGTCCCAACTGGAGTCAGCCAGTTGGGACAGGTTCAGCATTCATGGATTTCATTATTTGTGGATTTGCAATTCCCCTGAAGCCTGCCTATGTGCAGGCTTTGGAACACATATGCCAAATGCAAGGCATATAGGCCAAATCATTTTACGTGGCCCACAAGGCTTTGAATGTGGTGGCAACATAAATACAGTCTTACAACCTTATTCCATGGGAAGGAGAGGGGGAATGGGGGGGGGGAGCATCCTTAATAGTGGGGACACAACCTACTCCAGCAAGATCTATCTCTGGTGATGGGCAACAATCCCATGATGTTTACCCGCCTTCCTCTGGAAGTGGCTCTCCATTGTGGGAAGACACCCTTTGATCTCAGTTGTGCCAGTGTAAGAAAACGGAGGAAATTTAGTTTGAGATAAGGTCCTTACAATCACAAAGAGCCATTTGAAGGCAACTGTAAAGCTGTTTGTGATTGTTAGTGAAAACAATTTTGACATCCATGCTTTAGGGAATGATTGGCAAGCTCTTTGCAGCTCCTCCATCTCTCCATTTGGGAAGTGTGGGAGCAGTTAAGTGCTTGCCAACACCCCCCTCCCCTCCCTGAAGCTTGCTGGACCATAAGCGCCAGAGGACAGTTGGCAAACTTCACTGCTTCCCTGCTTCTTCCACAGCTTTAGAGAGAAGTTAAGAAGTGAAGGGTTTGCCAACAGCCCATGAACTGTGATGGTGCTTAAGTTTCGTGGGATGGTTGGTGATCCCTTTACTGCTTCCCCATGGCCCCACCACATTTTTGCAGAGAATGGCAAACCAGTGAATGGCTTGTCAATGAACCAACAAACTTCAGTATGGATTGGGTTGTCTGGAGGTATGTGACTGGTCAGTATTGTGTTTATGTGTGGATCATCAAAGTAAAAGGACATGCTTTCTGCAGAGATTTTTGCACAAAAAGCAGAAAACGTGACCGCTTCTTTGGAAAAAAGATCCACATACAACACCATCAGTTCTTTGTAAGTCAGTACTGATCTATCTGCACAGAGGAAGAACATGGTCACCACTTAGTGAGGGCAGATCATAACTTGATTGACTCCTGTCTTTCCTTTGTCTTCAGCTGCAGCAATCGTAACAAACTAGGGATAGAGTTAGATCTTGATTCTTTATGACACCATTACTTTAATAAATCATAGGTGTGCTGTTTAAAAGAAGAAAACATGTTTAGGTTGAACTCTGATGAAAATACCATTATGTAAAAGTCTAAAGGAAGGCTTAAAAAACTATTTTAAGTAAACTTGGGGTGTAAATTGAGTTGGAAATGGCATTTTTATTTAGTATCTTTATAGAAATACAAATTTATGTCAATCATGTTACATTGCTTCTTAATGCTTACTATGGCAAATGACTTATTTCATTTCCAAGTGGAAATGTAGGAGCCGCAGTGGCGCAATGGGTTAAACCCTTGTGCCAGCTGAACTGCTGACCTGAAAGTCAGCAGCTTGAATCCGTGAGATGGGATGAGCTCCTGTCTTTCAGGTCCAGATTCCCATGCAAGGAAATGAGAGAAGCCTCCCATAGGATGGCAAAACATCCGGGCGTCCTCTGGGCAACATCTGAAGAGCCGGCATTGTCCATAAACACCTTAAGGTCATGTAGCCGGCATAACTGCATGGCATGCCGTTACCTTCCTGCTGGAGTGGTTCCTACTGATCTAATCACATTTGCATGTTTTCAAACTGCTAGGTTGGCAGAAGCTGGAGCTAACATCACAAGATCACCCCGCTCCCCGGATTTGAACCTGTGACCTTTTGGTCAAAGGATACAATACAAAGCATACACTACAGTATTCTTTCTCACTCATTGAGGTGATGTGCATAATTATTTTTGATATTGTATATGAGTTTTGTGAATATGTGCAATATGATATAGTTCAAAACAGCATCTGGCTAGAAACAACTTAATGAAAATTTTATCACTGCATTTTATCAAGGATCATTCTCGTTTCCCTTTCCTCTTTAATCACTAACTCTTCAACAGTATGCTGAGTTTCATTTCTACTTTCTCTATTATTAGTCATATATATGGCACATTACAGCCTAGCTTCCTTTCCCCCATAAAACAGATAAATTACTCTTAGTATCACTGCTCCTTCTTTTCTAGTATTAACTGTTGAAGTAGAATTTATTAGGAAATTGAATTTTATAAATCAATTTGTATTATACTTTACTGGCATGAATTGAATGGTAAAGATCATTCATAGGATTAATGCATTACTGGACTATTCAATCAATTTACCAGAACTGATGGTGGATTTTCCTATTGCAAAACATAATAGCCCGCCATATTTTTTCATTTGTTGTAAAAATAAGCATTTTTATTTTTGTAGTTTCAGACTCTTCATAGATATGTGATAAAACTACTGCTAATATTTGGTTACATCAGCTGAGAATAACAGTTTATGAATCTGATGAAGTCGGTGCTTATTCATGAAAGTTTCTGCCGTAATAAAATGTTGTTACAGTGTTCCCTCACTACTTTGCGGTTCACTTGTCATGGACTCGCTGTTTTGCGGGTTTTTGCCTCCCAGTTTATGAATGGTTGCCAAAGCAAAGCAGAGATAGATAGCGGTGCCGTTAAATATCTCCTTGCTTCTGCCTCACTCTCGGAATGTGATATACTAGATGGATTAGCATGGTTGTCCATCAAAATGCATTGCCATGACCCTGGGCAAGTGACACACACTCAGCCCAGAAAACCCTGTGATAGTTTCACTTTAGGGTCATCATATGTCAGAAACAATGTGAAGATATATAACAACAAAATATTTCATCAGCAGCAAGGAACAATAATGATTTTCAAAGTGTATATTGTTCCAAATACAGAACCAAAGTAGCATACCTTTATTGTACTAGTATGTGCTCCTGGATACTCTTTTTCTTCCAGAGTTGACCAGCGTTGTATAAATTTTGATACCAAGGGGTCATCATAGTCCACAATCTGAAATCCTGAAACGTTGGCCCCTCCGAATTGTATTTTTGACAAATCTCCATCATTAAATCCCTGAGCAATAGAAACATTCGTCAACTCATCAGTTCTCTTAACTTTTCAGTCAATGAGAGCACAGAAGAAACAAGCTTAGTCAGCATGCACATTTGACATACATTCTTAAAACAAGAGTTTCCATCCTACTGGGGATCTTTTCACATCACACAACTATAGTGCATTGATTTTATTAACTGCCTATGGAATTCAAGCCTATGAAATTGTGAAATTTGTAGTTTATGGGGTATTTAGAATAGTGTAGTGGTCTGAATCTCTGAAAAAAGGCCATGGAAACCCAAAGCCATAGATTGGGCAAGTCACATGTTCTCTGCTTAAGAGGAAGGAAATGGCAAATCTCCTCTGAATAAATATCATTTTTAAAGATCAGGAGACTATGAAAAATATATGCATATGTGAGGTGATGGTGGAGAGGGAAATGAAAATATGTGTAGGGAAAGGTGAAAGGCATAGATGCAGAACTGGACAAAGATGGAAAGTCCCCATGGAGCAGATGGGTGGACAATATGTATGAAAGTTAGACATTAGAACAGGGAAGCAAACAAGAGATGTGGAATTACCAACTTTTATTGATTTATGAAAATGATAATCAACCTACACAAAGTTCTTTGAACTGTGTAAACATTGGCTGAGATCCTGTATCAGAGGTTATCATGCACAAGCTACCAGGAGCAAGCAAAGTTTATTGAATAGTCTATTGACCGCATCAACAGTAAAAACAAAAACAGAAACGTGCACAAACAGACAACAATCACCATCCCAACAATCACCCCCACAACAGCGAACCAACACACATTCAAACCTGATTAGGTTAAAAGATAACTAAAAATATCATCATTAAAATGTCAAGATAAAATTTCATACCATAAAAATTAAAAATGAAGGTTAAAATGAAGGTTAAAATAGACCAGCTATTACACAATCCCAAGCCACTTCAGATATCTGTGTCACCCCTACAGTTTACCCCAATCGCCTCCAGATATGCAGTTCTCAGCTGCGTTGCTTTATAAAGGAAAAGGGCTGTTTGGTGTGTTATCTTAGCATTCTGGCCAGCCATTAAGAATGTAGTTTTGATATGGGGATCTCAGTGCGTCTTCTGTATGATGAATGGTCCGAGGTATTGATTTCTCTCTTTGTTGTACAAAATACAATTAAGCAGTACATGTGTAATATCCTCTACCTCTGTCACCCCACAGATACAGAAACGTTCATTATATGGACAAGCTACCAGTTGTGGAGCAACGATGCACATTGGGGCACCACCAGATGTTTTATTGTACAACAGGAGCTTACATTTTACACTGTTAATCTATATTACTATGGACTACGCTTTTGGGATGATGTGTTTTTAACTGTTTATTTAAATGTATTTAAATGCACAATGTAATTTGTATGGTTTTTTAAATGTCTTAATATGCATTGAATTATTGCCAATTTGTAAGCCGCTCTGAGTCCTCTTCGGGATTGAGATAGACCAGGGTAAAAATACAGTAAATAAATAAAATAAATACAGTACATTGTGCAGCAGGACACCTTGTGCATTGGGGAACTTTGTACATCAAGCCCTAATGCATTTCAGGACAAATTGTACATTGGGATCATTTCAGAACATACACACTGCAAGTTCCATTGCACAATGGTTCCAAGAATGTAGCTTTTTCTCTCTGCTCTCCTATGAACTTTGGGCAATGGCACAATTGAGGTTTACATAAATGTAAGTCACTTTACAATGGAGTAATTTCCCAACAGGATGCCAGCTTTAAGTATATATACATATATTAAGTATTAAACTGACTTACCAAATTTGCAATGATGTAGTGGTATCCTTTTACATGTTTACCAATTGTGATTACCTGGAAAGAAACCATGTAATTAATTTTCTTTGGGAAAAATACACTGATACTAAGAAATATATTGAATAAGGTCAGGGTCCAACAATCTACCTCCTCTAGGATCCCACAGCTTCTACTAAAAGAGTTCTTTCCTCTTTCCCTCTCTTGCATATGTATCACACTGAAAACTTTAGGGCACCCAGAGAACAATAGGAGGGAGAGCGATCACTGATTTAGGCAGATGCAGTGAAATCCTGCAGAAGTATATCGTTGAGTCCTGACCTTAGAGATCAACAAGTGGTTCTATGGCCAAGTGGTTCTTCTAAGTGGTTCTTAGTGATCAACAAGTGGTTCTACTTGTACAGTCAGTTGAAATTTATATGATGGCTGATTCTGGCAAATGATCTAATCCAAATACTATACATTTCCTATTCACTTCATTAATCTTCCGCTAGGACATTCACCTAGTGCAGGGGTTCACAAACTGTGCTCTGAGGGGCCCTTGGGACTCCGCGGGTGATAATGAGGGGCTCTGCAGGACCATGTTGGTTTCCGCCTCCTCCTCCTGAGAAATGCAGGGAAATTAAAGTTTTGAATTGCTGGAAACAGCAGTGCGGCGGCATCCCCTTCGGGACACAGACCCTTTCTCCCTGGCCTCCCACACTGCCCAGACTCTTCTCCTTGCTGCCCAGACCCTCCCCCTCACCTTTCTTTGCTTCCAAATCTCTATTTCCCTCCCACTGCTCAGGGAGTGCTTTGATTGTACTTTTCCTGCATGGCAGAAGGGAATTGGACTGGATGGCCACTGGGATTTCTGTTATGATTACTACTACTACTACTATTACTACTATTACAAAGGCTGGATGGCAATCTGTTTGGAGGGGATGCTTTGATTGTGTTTTTCCTACATGGCAGAAGGGGGTTGGATAATTGACCAACTGGATGAACTGGGTTGGCTAAAATTGTTAATTTTATGTTGGCTAAAATTGTTCTTCATTTTAAGTATTGTAATTTTCTTTCTTTCCTTTTATTTTTTGCATCGTGTGAATTAGTTCACACAAACACTCTTCTTCCATCTTCCATCTATCTATATCTATCTATCTATCTATCTATCTATCTATCTATCTATCTATCTATCTATATATATTGGGGCTCCACAACATTTGCTTCAAAAATGGAAGAAAAGTTTGAGAACCCCTGACCTAGTTGATTGTAATCAGTGTATTCAGGTAGCTTTTCCCAATATTTATTATTTTTCTCCCAGGTTGATATCCAATTTTGCTTATTTTCTTCTCCTCCAAAGATTCTATATAACCATATATACAGTATGACCCCCATATCTATAGGAGATATATTCTTGGATTTTGTGTGGATGATAGCAAACCCTATTGAAAGCATTTCTGACCCAAGAATCCACAAAGCACTGCATGAGGACCTATAAAGTGTCTATAGAGGACACGTATGTCATTTTGTATCTGTCTTTGAAATGTCCTGCCATTCAAAAGTATTCTTGCTTTACTTTACATGTTGAAAAGAGGAAGTGCCCATGCTGGCCTCTCCTGGGCAAATAAAGTGGTTTTATTATAAAAGAAGTACAGTATCTCCTGCAATAGCTGAAGTATAGAGTATAGAGATTCTTGCTAATCTAGTCCTTTAATGTTAATGAAACTGAATGGGTTATACTCCAATTACTTTAGCATAAGTAGGCAGTGTGGATCCAACCAAGTGCCTTTTAGTAAACTGCTGATCAGTTATACACAAAGGCCTCTGTGTTGCATTATGGGGCTGAGTCCTGCAATCTCTGATTATCAAAAGTACACATTAGACTTCCTTATAGATCTTCATCAGCTGAAGTACAAAAAAATAATAGTATCCAGCTTTGAGAACTGGATGGAAGCAAGGGATCTTGCACAAGGCATTCTGTCTACACATTCACTTTTATGTTACTGCTGAAAAGCAATCCAATTTTGAGTACCACATTGTATGCGAACCTGTAGATATTTTATGAAATCTACATTTTCTGGCAATTGGCCCTTCTATCCCTTCCTATCACAGCTCATTATGCTCCATATCCCTCACTGAAACTCACAGAACGCAGTGTAAGTTGGGGGGAACCAATGGAAATTAGCAGCTTTGTCCTTCCCTTCCTATGTGCAGACAAAAAGGCCATCCACTCATACAAAACATATTTACTATCTAGATGACAGTTAATACAACAATTTTACATACATGTTAAGAAATATTCTGTTTCTATTTCATCAGCATGATTTCTGTTTGATAAATCTATATTGCCATTATCTCCCAAGTATCTAAAATGGCACTAGTGAGCCCTTGATATCCACTAGGTTTGGTTTCTAGACCTCACCATGGATACCAAAATCCATGGATATCTAAGGCCCATTATGTATGTAGTAGTAAAATAGTGAACAGTAAGATCAAGTTCACTTTTTAGATTTATATAAAAATATCCCAAACCATTAATGGGGGAATTTATGTATGCATAACTGGTGGATATAGAAGACCAACTGTATCAGCATTAGCTATTAATATTGACATTTGACTCCTGATATTGAAACTAATCAAAGCTCGGAAGAAACACATTAAAAGAAATAAAATAATAATCTGTAAAATTGTAATTTTGGGGGTGTCAAATGATTAGCAATATGCTTCCTAGTAATACATGGGCATTTATATACATAACCAGTATTTACTCAATTATTTCCAAAATAATATTTGGATAGTCATTTGGACAGGGTTTTTTTTTTTTGCCATTTTGTATCTTACATGCTTTAAAAAATTAATTAAAAGCAAAACATTACTATGAAGAACCTTAACAAATTACTTTGAGTAAACAGAGACAAGTAACAAAATAAATTATTTCTTCCCTATTACAACAAGCAAATTGCTTGTAAAAAAATAATGTTCCAAGCTCTAATCTAAACACAAATCAATCCTGATGATAAATAGGTGTTATAGCAGTACATTTCACACAGGCTTACATTGTTAGACACTGAAAAATAGAGGGTAGCAAACCTGTTCTACAATGTCGTTGACTTTATCCCGTTCACAGTCGAGAATTACTTGCCTTTCCTTTTTCAACTCCAAATCTTGAAACAATGAGCGATATGTTTCATCTTTTCTATCATTGTTAATATTCCCCACATTTATAGCAGTCACTTGCCATTTCTTTTCAGCTGCAGTATCCAGAACAGCTTGTAGTGTTGATAATCCTAAAAACATAAGAAGAGACAATAAAAAAGAGACCACTGACATCATTTCTCTAGAAACAATAAATGTCTCACTAACAATGCAAAAGTCTCCTAGCACACCTGTGCTGTTAAACAAAGAGACAGAATGAAGAGAGTGAGATGGCTATATTGGGTTTCTCCCAGGAGAAAGCAATTGTAGTATTGATGTTGCCAGAAAGAACGAATTTCCTTTGGCTGCTAAGACATCCACATGTGAAAGGGAGGAAGAAACCAGAATCTTGGAGTTTTGATACAACTAGAAAGAAGTGTTTCACAATGGGGAGAGGATAAGTGCTAACACTAACAATGCTAAAAGAGTGACTAGTGGTGCATCTACAGCACACCATAGGATTAGTGCAGTTTGACACCACTTTAACTGTCACGGCTCAAATACTATGTACAGTATATACCTGACTATAAGCCAACACGAATATAAGCTGAGGCACCTAATTTTACCACAAAAAATCTGGGAAAACTTATTGATTCGAGTATGAGCTGGGGGTGGAAAATGCAGCAGCTACTGGCAAATTTCAAAATAAAAATAGATACCAATAAAATTACATTAACTGAAACATCCATAGGTTAAATGTTTTTGAATATTTACATAAAGCTGTAATTTAAGATGAGACTGTTCAACTCTGATTATACCATTATTCTAATCTTCTTCAATGTAAATGTGCTTAAGTATCCTTCCAATAATAATAGAGTAAAATAATAAATATAACAAGAGCAAATAATAAATGTAATAATAATAATAATAATAATAATAATAATAATAATAGATTAAATAAAAAATGTCCAAATCTGATTAAACCATTATTCTAACCTTCTTCAATGTAAATGTGCTTACGTATCCTTCCAATAATCACCCTAGTTTATTTTAACTATATATTTTGGGGAAAATGCTGTGTATATGAATAAGGAAAAGTGAGAAAGACTGGTGCCAAGAGAGGAGGAGAGGAAGGCACATGCTGCACTGAGAGAGGAGAGGAAGGAGAGCTGGGTTGCTGTGTGGAGAGGTGAGGATCATGGGAGAAAGCATGGGGCTGAAAGAAGCCTTTCTTTCAGCCCCACGCCTTTCTGTCAGAAAGCTTACCCGTGTATAAGCCGAGGGGGCCTTTTTCAGACTAAAAAGGGCTGAAACACTAGGTTTATACTCGAGTATATACAGTCATCCCAGGATTTGGAGTTTGGTGAGGCATCAGCACTCTTTGGCAGAGAAGGCTAAAGACCTTGTAAAACTACAGCTTCCATGATTCCATAGCATTGAGCAGCTAAAGTGATGTCAAACTGCATTAATTCTACAGTATAAGTTAAGCATGCTGAAACAAACTTGATGAAGAACCTTGTGGCATCTTAAGGCCTGTTTAACACTGAAGATGTAATGGGAAGAGAGAAATCAGTGGGTGTTTTGCACGAGGACTTTACCTCCCCCTCCCCTTTTTCAGTGCAGCTGGTTATTGTACAAGGGCTGAGCTGTCTCTCCTGGTGTGCTCTCTGTCCTTGTCTACAGAAGACCCAGCAGGAGATATGCTGCCTCTCTCGATCCTGATGTGCAGGAAGCATGTTGGACAAGGCACAGCAAGAACACAGTTTTACTCATTGCTCTCTGTGTGCTTCTCTGAGAGGAAATGTCACCTATTGACAAACCAGCTTAACCCAACCAAGACACTTAGGATCAACAGTTACTGCCCTTTTGCCTCCTCTCGAGAACATCTGCATATTTTCATTGGCCACTCCAGCACTGTGGAATGACCTGCTGGAAGGGCACTTACAGCTAAATGAACTATTGGAATTGAAGATCCAGTCGAAGGTCTATCTCTTCCAGCAGGTTTATCCAGTCAATTTTCAATCATGAGTTTTTATTTACATTCTATTGCAGGTGTTAATTTTGTATCCCATGTTTGGTACATGTTTTTGATACTGGTTTGTTTTTATGGATTTTACTGTATATATTTTATGTTCATATGTTTTGACTTTGTTGTACCCCACCTCAAGCCATCAAGAGAGGTGAGTAATAATTTATTATTATTATTTTTCTAACCTAGAAAAAGTGTTAATTTTTGTGCTGTCAATCTCTACAGTTTTTGAGTTAAGTAAAATTAATAACTTTGTGCTTACTTCAGCTCTGTCAGAACTTTGGAACACCCTCCCCAGGGAGATTAGGCAATCCCCCACACTGTCCTCCTTTCATAGGGAACTGAAAACTTGGATGTTCCAGCAAGATTTTGGGAATGACTAGTCCCTAGGCCCAGTCCCTAGGTTGCCCGATAGTAGTCCATTCTGCAGTTCATCCATTTCCCCAGCCCTATAATATGCTGTTTGTACTATCCCTCGCTCAGCTCTTCTATAGTTGATCAGATCCATTTTAGTACTCCTAGCAACTGATATTGCTGAACTTCACCTGATGGAGCTCAGATGAAATCGGTTTTATCTTTTTATTTTTAGTGTGTTTTTTCAGGGTTTTTGTATTTTATTATGTTTAAATTTTTCTTTATTTGTTTATTATGTTACAGTTAGGTTGTTCTGTATTGTCCAATGTGCCTTGTATTGACGTAAAATGTTTGTATCATTTTCTTTTGGCATTGAATGTTTGCCATATTTGTTGGAAACCACCCTGAGTCCCTTCGGAGAAATAGGGCAGTCTAATAATAATAATAATAATAATAATAATAATAATAATAATTATTATTATTATTATTATTATTATTATTCTAGCACTATGACTTTTTATGAAACACTCTCTTTTCATTTAGGACCTCATCAGATGCAGAGAGAGGAGCATTTCCTCCCACTTCTCTCCGCTGATGGAACGGAAACCCACAGAGCTCAACATATGATGCAAGGCAACTTCTGGCAGGGCTCTGTGGGGCTCTGTTTCAGCAACTGAGAGGAAACAAAGCTCAGAGTGCCCCTTAAGGTGTTGCGTATTACCCAATTCCACACTGAAGAAAGCAAAGAGGTAGCAAGAAAGATGGATCTCAAGGGGGAAATGATGTGGGAAGAGAGAAGATGGGAGGGAACAGAGCCTGATGCTGTTCCATACTTTTCCCCACTTTGCCCCCATCCGTCTTATGAGGTCCTTGCATTAATTTCAATTTAGAGTGCAAATTAAGGAATGCAACCCCAATGTAAATGGCTACTCAGAGAGGCGTAGTTGTGTTAGGTTATTTCATCAAAAACAAACCACCACCCACCAGAAAAAAAAATCCAAAACTAGAAAATTTTATTTTGCATAAGCTTTTTTAGATAGATAGATCCTACTCCATCAGATGCCAGCACCAATAAAATGTTAACCAAAGCAACAATGAATGTCTTGACTCTTTTGAAATTTCTGTGCCGGAAAGTGCCTACAGCCATTTGGTTTTACATTTCTTTGAAAGAGATTTTGTCATCTTTGAGGCATAGAAGTCTGTTATTTTGTGGTTATCTCTCTTGAAAAACTGACATGGTTATTCTACATTTTTAAGTATAAGAGCCACTAGACTGTAGTAAAAAGCATACCAAAAAAGTAAGACCATACATGTTCTGTGAGCGTAAAAATAAATAAAAAGTAATTAAAGAACTACAATTAATCTGCAAAAGTTGTGATATTATTCCTTGATAAGTTATAATCACATTGTAGTTTAGTTTTGCTTTAGTTATTGAAAGAATTAAATCAAACAAAAGTAACATGTCATTTGTAATGATTGTATATATCCATGTATCAGTCAGCCTCATGTATAAGTCAAGGGCAGGTTTGGGGGCCAAAATTAAGGTTGTGATATGACCCATGAATAAGTCAAGGCCAATTACATGGAGAGGAGAAAGCACCAATGCAGCCACAGGAGATCAACCACATCTGGCCACATTCTAAAAGGCCAGAACAGCATTTTGGCAGGGAGAGTAGAAAAAGTTGCTGCTCCTTTTAGGTCAACCAATGAAGGACTATGCTCTTGCCTTTTGCCACTCTACTCAGAGAAAGGAATGCTTCCTGTTTTGATAAAGTTAAGTTTCAGTACTCACATTCACTCTAGGATAAGTCAACCCAGTTTTTGTGTTGATTTTTTTGACTTCTACTTAAATATAAGTATTTAGGGTTGTTATTTTGGGGCTCAGTTGCAGACAATACTTGCTAGATCAGTGGGGTTCTCAACCTTCCTAATGCCGCAATGCCTTAATACATTTCCTCATGTTGTGGTGAGCCCCAATCATAAAATTATTTTAGTTGCTACTTCATAACTGTCATTTTGCTACTGTTATGAATTATAATGCAAATATCTGGTATGAAGATGTATTTTCATTCACTGGACCAAATTTGGTACAAATACCCTATACCCAAATTTGAATATTGGTGAGGTCAGGCGGGGATTGATTTTGACATTTGGAAGTTGTCGTTGCTAGGAGTTATAGTTCACCTACAATTAAAAGAGCATTCTGAACTCCACCAACAATAGAATTGGGCCAAACCTCCCACACAGAATCCCTATGACCAACAGAAAATACTGAAAGAGTGTGGTGGGCATTGACCTTGAGTTCTAGAGTTGTAGTTCAGCTACATCCAGAGAGAACTGTAGACTCAAACTTGGCACGAGTACTCAATATGCCCAAATGTGAACACTGCTGGAATTTGGGGAAAATAGACCTTGAAATTTGGGAGTTGTAGTTGCTGAAATTTATAATTCATTTACAATCAAAGAGGATTCTGAAGCCCACCAACAATAGAATTGGGCCAAACTTCCCACACAGAACCCCCATGACCAACAGAAAATACTGTGTTTTCTGATGGTCTTAGGAAATCACTCTGACACCCCCTTGTGATCCCCATGGGTCCCAACCCTCAGGTTGAGAAACACTGTGCTAGATGGACCAACACTGATTCAACAGAAGCCTATGTTACTTTAATAAGGCATCTTCAGCTCCTTATCTTTAAATCACCTTGAATCCATGTTACAGTGATCATCAAATGCAACAAGTAAATAGAAAAGTTAATTACATTCTTC